TAAGATCTTCTTCCCTAGAACTTTCTTATTTTCTCTCCTAGCTGCCCCCCCCCCGCTCCCCAACACTTGTCCTAATAGCAGATGGATATGAATTTTGGACCCAAAATTCCTATAGGATTCAAATACAAAGTTACCCTCCTATAAAATCCTCCTCATCTTTCAAAGCCTGAGATTGGGGAGAGGTGGAGTTGGGAGAATGGCTGATGATATACAGTAGTCTCTATCAATAAGGTAATTTTGGCTGAGAGCAGGAAACAGCTCACCACACGTCTCCCTGTATTCTGGACCCAAAGATGAACTACATTTCCCAGCCTCCTTTGGAGATAGTATGGCTGCAGGACTCAGTTCTGTCCAAAGGAAGTAGACGGAAGGGATGTATCCTACTTCCAGGATTGATACATAAATCCTACTTGACCCTCCATTTTGTGCCCTGAGAAGTCACAAGTTAAATATGTCAACATCTGTTTAACTGAGGTCTTTAAACGTGACATAGAAGCCCCTTCTCACTCCTGTCACCAATTGAAATTCATGCAATCCAGAAATTAGCTTCTATTAAATTAAGCCATTTAACATTAGGGTCTTTCTTTATAGCAGCTACCAATACCTTATCTAAAATAACTGCCTAAATTCTAAAAACTGCAAGGAAGAAAGGCAAATATTTCTAAGAAAAAAGATAGGTTGCTTGTTCAAGCAGGAAAAGTCTATTTGCATGTATTGCTTTGATTGTGTAGGTCAGACGGAAAATGATATGTCAAGGACTTCTATCTACTGTAATAAAAACTGCAGATGAAATGAAGCTCTGATCTATTTTAAAATATCTATTGAAAATTGAATTTGCACATGTATCTCTTTTAAACTCATTCTTGTATCATCGTCTGTGAATAATGTGTTAGAGTATTTTAGTGTTTTCACTTTGGGATTAATAAAAAAAGTTATGCTACATTTAGAAAATATCACTCCTTTGAACCTAAAAATGAACAGAATATTATGGCAGTCAATTCTTGCTGTTTCTTCTGCCAATAACAATTTATCTATACTCCTACAATTTAAATTTATGAAAATTATTGTATTTTGCTAATACATTACTAAATATATTTTATATATATTAATGTTCTGGAAAAGTAGATTTTGCTTACTGTTTGTTTGGTATTTTAATACTCTAATAGGGCTAAGTTACTATGAGAAGAAAAATTTCAGGGAAAATTTTGAAAAACAGATCGAGTCATGCAAGATCCAGCATTTTTTTTTCCACGAGTGTCCGTCAAATACAACTGCACTATAAATATCTTCCTCCAGATCTTCATTGATCTAGTGTACTATTTAAGACTTAATTGTTTTTCTCTGTTTCAGTGTTACTAAGGATGTTCCACATTCAAAGATCATGAGTAATACAAAGACTGTTAATTTTAAGTGAAACCTATAATTTCCCTCACTACCAACATTAAAATAAAATTTCCTCTTCATCATTCATCTACATCCTCATTATATATAATTTATAATCTTAAAAATGTTGTTTGCTTTCATTTATTTTACTTAATTTTATTCAAATGCAATTTATGTATTGCCCATGTAGACTTTCAAACTAGGAAGAAACATGACACGCTTTCTGGTCTGTCTAATAGAATGTGTCCTCAGTTGCAAATTCAGAAATTGGCATTGTGGTTTAAATGTTAGATTCTCCTTGTGAGGCAGCTCCTCCTGCAAGGCAGTTCCTAAGAGAGGGACTATTGGCCCCATTGACCGATTCAGTTTCTGCGTTCCTTTGAAGCCAGACTGGGATTTTGCTAAGATTCTGCCTGGTTGCAATCTCTGACTCTTGCCTATAATCTGCAATGTAGTATACATTCTTCTCATTTTCAAAAATCATCAGGAAGTTTCTTATTCACAATTTCCATTGTACCGAGGCTGCCATGGAACTATACTTACTGTGTCTGTGTGTGTGTGTGTGTGTGTGTGTGTGTGTGTGTGTGTGTGTGTGTTTAGTACAGTACATATTGTCAGTACGTGATGTTTACATTCGTTTTGGGGGATAGGCACATGTACTTAGCAACGTGGGTGGGGAGAGGAAGGAGATGGGGACTCTTCTTCCTCTCCTCACCCATCTCTATCCCCTCCATCTCTAGACCCTTCCCCCATTTTCATTATGAAGATTTGGGGGTGAGAGTACCAGAGATCACACTCACGATCTTGTGCTTGCCAGGCAGGAGCTTGTGCTGCTAAGCTAAACCCCTGCCCCCTGTCCTTTTACTTTGGGACATAATTATATTCATCGTGGGTAATTGACATGTATATATGATGCTTCTTAAATCTCTTTACTTCCTCTACCCTTGGTCTCTTGGTCACTACTGCATTTGCAAATCTCTCTGTCTCCTTTTTTCTGTCTTTTATTTAGCTCTTCTATTGTACTTTGGATTATTCAACCAAGAGAAACTGTATTGTATTTAAGCTTGTGTTTCTGATTAATTTCCCTTAACATTATGCTGTGTGTGTTTTGATATTTCTCCTATTTTTTTCCTTTTGCTAGAAACATACCATAGAAATTTAGACTAGAATAATTTGAGACTGAAATAGACTCTGAAGTCCAGCTCAGAGTAAAATTTACGTTTGTTTCTAAATACATTGTTTTCTTCCTTACGCTTTACCTTGGAGGGCTTCGTCTAAGCCATTATACTGGGAAGGGTATGAAGAGCCGATGAAGATTCACCAGGGAATCATCGGGCCCTTCTCCAGTGAACCGCAGAGTATGACTTTTCCTCAGTCCTTATCCTTAAAGTGCCTGGTGATTTCCACCACTCTTGCTTTATAGCCCTTTCCCAAAAGGCTAATGTTTAATAATATCAATAGTCTATTTAAAGGAATTAGCAATCAAAAATGGATGCTTTTTATTAATTTTTGAGATAATTTATATATACACAATTAGAGTACAATAAGTTAAAATTTTTAAATCAATAATGTAACATAACCAGGAAACATCACTTGATAATTATGTCTAATTTCACATTTGTAGGGAAGAAAAAATGTGTGCGGTGCATTTGTCACAATCAGAGGGTTTTGACCTCCTCTGCTCCACAAAAGCATCTTGTTCTCTAGATTTCCCTGGGGCCCATTCACCCAGCCTCCTTCTGACTTGCATTGTTGTCATTTGAATGTTGTTCTCCCTGAAGGTCAGCTCCTTAGGGAAAGAGAATGTGCTCTGGGCATTTGTGTCTATTCCACAACACCTGTACCTAAGGGGCCCTGAATATATGTTTGCTATATGTACTTTACAATCCTAAAAATAATAATATTAATAATTTGCTCATCAAATTTGCAAATGACTAGAAGGAGCAAGGAGGAACAGCTAATAAGTTAAAGGTAAAAGCTTAAGCATTATAAAAGCTCCCAGAAAACCTTATAAAAAGAAGTAAAAGACCTGGATGATAAAATGCAAAGAAAAACACTAAAGCTAAGAACAAAATGTATGTGTTTAACAGCATATTATACACAGCTGAAGATGGACTTAGTGAACTGGAAGGTAACTCAGAAGAATATATCCAAAATGAAGCCCAGGGAGCAAAAGAAATGCAAATAGGAGGCCCCACAACAGGGCGGGTAGGGGTGCCAGGAAGTCAGACACACATATAACTGGTGTTTTACCACAATGGGGAAGAGAATGGTGGGTGGCTTTTCATACATAAAAGATACCAAGCTAAAGACTCCAGAAAGATAGCGGATTCCAAGAAGACTATGAAAATGAATCTAGATTTGTGTATAGGGAACCTGCACTCTCAGCATTAAGAGACAAGGGCAAAATTTTAAAAGCAGTCTGAGAAAACAGACTACCATCAAAGGAGCCAAACTGTTTCAAAACTGAATCAAATGTTTATAGCCTGGATCTTTTTTTCTGATTGACCCCTCAATCTCACTTTGGAGTCTGTACTATGTAAGGTTTTCTTCCGAAGCTGGGATGCAGGATATAAAAGGGTGAGCAAAAGGAGTAGATGCAGTTTTCCTCTATCACGCCCAGAAGTGGACGGAAAACCAATGTGTAGAAGGTTCAGTGAAGCATATTTCTGCCTAATGTAAGAAGAAATGTCTAGTAATTTGCATTGATGGAACCTGGAATAAGTTACCTTTAGGAAGAAGTAAGTTACTTACCATCAAAGATAATGAAAAGTTCAATGCATTCATTTGTCAAATATTTATTAAGTGTCTGCTATTATACCATACATAGCAATAGAGGTTCACAGTATTTAAACAAGTGTCAACAAAGACAAAGGTCCCTAGAGCTTACACTACAGTGCAAGGAGATGGGCAAGAAGCATGATAAATAGGTGAATCATGAAGGTAAAAGGTAAAAGTGTGACAGGTAGGTTTGCTATATAAAATGTGACAGCCACAGCACATGTTATTTTGCCAAAGAACATCAGGCAGAAGATGAGTGAGCTGTAAAGAGTTAAGGGGTTAAAAGGAATAGATTGGTGGGAGTCCTTTCCAACTCAGCTCCGTCTTATCATGTACTTCAAGATAAGTTTGGGATTTTAGCTAATTAAATCCTATTAACTGCTATGAAATACAATTCAGGGTGACTTTCTGTATTATGTCTATTAATAAAAGCTGTTCATCTTCCCTATCAAATGCCAACAATTTTGCATTTGAAAAGCATTTCTTTTAAAATTCCATAAAGAATGTGGTACCTTCTGTTGGCATCACAGAATTTGGAGACTGGGACAGATAATTAGTATAAGCTTCTTATACTAGTTGTCTTCATGGGAAAGAGATGTAAAGAATCTTCACAGAGCATTCAAAAGTAGACTTGGAGGCTTGCTCTTCAGAATCAGATTGCTTTTGGAAAAAAGAAAAGCCAACAAACATTCAGCTGGCTTTGATTCTAAAAAATAATGTTTGTCTCTGATGTTGACTTCTGTGGTGTCAACCATGTGATGTACAGAAAACTTTAACATGTACGGAATGAAAAGCCAAGAATATCCTCCTTGTTAACTTGTGGTCTTGTGTTGCAGGCAAACAAAAAATCCCTTTGGACGATTGAACCCAATGAAGGCACAGTTCCTGCGGAAGCTAATGTTCCCCTGACACTCACTGCCAACCTGAATGACATTCTGACGTTCAAGGACACAGTCATTTTGGACATTGAAAATAGCAACAGCTATCAGATTCCTGTCCAGGCTTCAGGAATTGGTTCTACCATTGTTTCAGATAAGCCTTTTGCTCCAGAACTTGATTTGGGAGCACATTTTTGGTAGGGAAATATGACGGACCTATGTTTATTGATTATCTCATAAGTTGCACCACCACCTAGTTTAGGAACTTGTTTTTAAGTAAATAGGACAGCCAGGTCAGCTCCTCTCCTGGCCCAGCCACACTTTCTCCATTCTCACTGGGGGCATCAGCCACAAGAAGACATTTCCTACTTACAGCTGGCTACTTTCTCCAATCTGTGTCTGTCTACTTTAGAAATGTAAGGTGTAACCTTCTCCCAAATTTGCAGTCACTTCTCTGTAATGGAATTAGAGTCTCAACCATGACTTATCCTCTTTGATTCCAATATACTGCTAATACCACTCTCTGAAAATAAAACCTAAGCAAAGTATACTCAGGGAGGCAAAAACTTAACTGCAAATATCCTATCAGGTCTTACAAAGTCACTAATTTTTTTGGTATCATTTTTCTACTTGCCTCCTACCATAACACAGTTGAAATATCAGCACTTGGCTTCCTCTGATTATCTGGGGTCTAAATAGAGGATAGAGAGTTTAAATATTTAAATATAATGAGGCACAATGTAGATACCTCTGAGAAGCACAATACAGTATAGATAGGAAAAAGTATGAAGTTTGGATGGAGAGGGTAGAATGTATGTGTGCAGACTTATTTCTGATTCCTCCAGAAAGCCATGCAGTTATCAGTAACTGACCACTGGGGACCAGCTGGATTTGTACCTGCCTGTAAGAGTCCTGTGATTACATCTCACAGGTTATTCCTCCTGCCTTCAGTTCTAACAGCCCCTAAAACCAAGTCATATGCACTGTGCCAGGGAAAATGTAATGGGGTAATCAAGAATCCATTCATGCTTCATTTCCCCTGCCCCACTTAGGAAACATGACATTGGGTTGAAAAATACCATAAACCAATAGCAAATTAAGTAACATGCAAGTCATAGAGTTGAATTGTGTGTGTTTACAAAGAAGCATTCAATTGCACAAATCCTACTTCTGACTGACTGTTGGTCAAAGCTAGGGCATTTTCTTATTCATATTAGTGCTCCTATTTTTAAATTTCTTTACATGTACTCAAATCTAATTATAAAAAATAAGGTGCCACAAACTTAATCTAATTGCATTTTCTTAATCTATGAGTAGTGTTAACCGCAAAAGGTATTTCAACTCTTGGGCTGGGGATTTAGCTCAGTGGCATAAGTGCCTGCCTTGTGAGCAGGCAGTCATGAGTTCAATCCCTGGTACCGAGAAAAAAAAAAAAAAAAGGCATTCCAACTCTTGCCAAGAATTACAGAGTTAACTAACTGTTTTCCTTAAATATATAAACAGCTGTAGTTGTTAGCTATAATTTCCCCTCTGCACAAACCCTATTGTTATTCTTTTTGGCATAAACTCATATTGCCAGCAATAGCCAGAAGAATCATCAAAAGCAGGGATAGGTAAACTACAGCCCACTGCCTGCTTATATAAATAAAGTTTTATCAGTACATGGACTTATGATGGCTGTGTTTCTGTGATTTAAAGATACACTGTGAATAAGTAGAAGACACCCTACCTAGTTTATAAAACAGTACATATTACTTATTATGGTCCTCTCCAAAGCCTACCATTAGCTGTAAAGTTAAACTGTCAGGCAGATTTGCTCCATTGAACATGCCTTACAGACACACATTTAGAGAGAAATTGTTTCACCTGACAGTTGGCAAATATTTCTTCTGATTATCTGATAATTCACCTTATTTATTAGATATGTCATTTCCTAGGGAGGAGCAGCAGATAGGATGAAACCCCAGTCTAATAAACTGTAAAAAATGAAAAGATCCTAAGGTGAGTTTATCTTTGAAGAAACAAAAAAAAAAAAAAACCTAAAATACACTAAACCTATAAATCAGTTTTTTAGACCCCCTACAAATCATATCTGAACTATTTTTAAAATCTCTTAACAAAGAACCAGGCAATCAAGAGGTCCTTAGAAATTAATTTGTAGTCTAGATAATGAAGGAAGGAAGGAAGGAAAAACAACATCATCAAAAGTACATTATCCAAGACAAGTGCCCAGGCTGGATGGTGTTTGGAGCCTGGCCTCTGTTAAAAGATACCTGTTGCTTCTCTTCAGAGCATCCTTTGCATTGAATCCATCAGAAGCATTTCTCTCTGTCCATAGAAATTTGCTCAACACAACTGCAAATATGCTTCTTCTCCAGGAGCTGTTTTGCCTTCCTTTCAGAACATCTCAGAACTGTGTCTCATTAATTAAGGGCTTCTCACTCGGACCGTCTATGTGTTCTGAGCGCTCTTACTCTGCCGGGTGGAGCTCCCTCCCCATAGCCGCTCACTATTGATGGTGACTCTGGGACCAAACCCAGCTTCATACTCCAAGTCTGGGGGCCCTGGAGTAGGAATTACTTCACCCCATCGCTGTGATAGTTCTGGTAGCTTCATGTATTAGGCTTTCTACATTAAAAAAAAATGAATGTCTTGTTCTGTTACTCTTTTTAAATATTTCTCTAAGAGTAAATCTCAAGAGTATGGAGCTGAATGTAAAATCCATAATATAAGTTTTTGCAATATCCTGCCTTTTCTGTTCCAGTCTGGATACCTATTATTACCGCTTCAAGTTGACCAACATGGGACGTCGGATCCAACAGTTGCTCTGGATGACTGATGGTTACCGTCCCCAGAACAAGCTGAACAAGAAGGGACAGACTACAAAGGGACCTGCTTGTCCTTTCCAGCCCCAGGGCTCCCAGGAGCCCAGGGATCCAGCAAGTCCAGTGTTTCAGATTCATCCCATCAGGATGGAGTTATACCCACGCCAGACAATCGATGTGGTTCTAGAAGGCTACTCTGCAACTCCCAAGGTAAGAGGAAAGCACATTTAGAAGCTATTTTTCTCCTAAATAAATCTTTGCTATCCTATGTCTATTTCTTAGGAGAGTCCTTTGACATTTATCTGAGAAAGAATGAGGTTTCACAAGGATTTGGTACAGCACCGTTACCATGGCAGCATCCATTGCTTTCAAGGTTCAGCTCTGCTCAGTTTTCTGTTTGTTTCTATAGCTACCATGAACCCAACCTTAAAGGACCAGTTAAAGCAGGTACTCACTCTCCCAGGGTCAACAGTAACCAGCCAATAAGTCTTAAGAGGGAAACATCCAGTTTTTAATCAAAGCAAATGTTCCTATTAACACGTATCAGTATTAATTTAATGTTTGTTCAAAAAAGTATTCTTATAGATACTCAGAGTTACCTTAGCTAGTTAGATATGGCAACATATACCCAGTTTATCCCCTCCCCAGTGATTCCAATAGCATCACATTTAAAAACATCATCTTTGTATGCATCAGTGAAATAGTCCTGTTTATCTTCAGCAAGTTTGATTTTCTTCTGTTATTTACATTATCACTGCACATTCTGCCTAAAACATTTAATTAGATCCAAACCATGTGTCTATTTATTACATTTCCCTCTTGGATTCTGGAAACCACAAAAAAAAAATAAGAAAAAGACTTTTGAAGTCACTTAAAAGTCCCTCCCATCCCACAAAAGCAGACTTTGTGAATGAAAAATGATGCTTTAACTTCTGCTTGTATTACCATGTCAGGAGGTGAGAGTGAATTTTCTCCTCGTGAAAGAGGAAGCAATAAGAAATTTATCTCCCAGAGACAAGATGGGAAAGTTGATCCATTTCTTCACTTCTTTAGGGTCACCAAGTCCACTTTACCCAATTTACATTATTTTTTCACAGAGCATTTCAGTCAGAATACATTCCCCAGTGCAAAAGAAAAAAATCTTATCTCCCATTACAGAGTCTGTCATGTGTTCCTTCTCTCTGTTACTCAGGGGATCAGCCAACTTTTTGACTGTGCACCATGTGACAAACACCGTGCTGGGCACTGAGGGTGCAGACATGAAGGGAACAGACAGAGCCCCTTATCTCAGAACACTCTCAGCCTGTAAGAGGAGCACACTTACGATGTGGTTATCAAGAGTTGAGCAAGGGTTTTTAAAAAGCATTAAATCTAAGCTACTGGGGCACTAAATTCACTTTCAGCTTTGCTAAAAGCTTCCCTGAATGTGCTTCCAAATCATGCTATATACTGAATTCATTAACATCCCAAACCTGAGCACTCTTCAATACAAGCTATTCATACTATAAATTCATTTTTGATTCTACTTTATTTTTAAAAATGTGCCTTTCTTGAGTGCAAAAAAAATTAGTTTCTAATGCATGATCTTTTAAATACCCAAATATGAAAGACAAAAATTAATCCAACCAGAGTTTTTAATTGGTTTGATAAGAAATTATGTAATTGCCATTTAACCACAAGCCCCATGAAGGATTTTACCCACCTTGTTAATAACTGCTTTGTACACCCAGCCCCTAACTTAGCTCCTGTTGTATAATAATTTATATATGTATATACAGCAAGATATGAATGTAAATTGATTGTGTCCTCAGGGGCAATCAAAAAGAAACATAGAACTCATCAAAGCCAAATTTAGCCAACCAGACCAAAACTGTATGACAGAGAACAATCCCTGAAATCCACTTCGCAGGGAAATGCGGTCTTCCTCATGTCCTTAGCAGATAGTTTGGAATTGATTTGCTTTTGGTGGGTCATTAAGTTTTCTGAGTTATGGTTATTCCAAAGATGTTACTGCATATGTGTGCAGGTAGTCAAAGAAAAGCTGGTGTGTCGCGCTACGGTTGGCACAAAGAAGGGGAAAAGCTTGCTGATGACCGTGGATATCATCTGTGAGTTTGTAGCACCGCTCATCCTGCTGTCTACCAGACAACTCATTTACCGACTGGAAAAGGTCAGTGAGGCTGAGCTCAGGAGCCCAGATGCCCTGAGTGGGGTTGACATGGTTGGGGTTTTCGGTTTGTTTGTTTGTTTGTTTGTTTGCTACTTAGTTTAGGCGATACTGGAGGTTGCAACCAGGGCCTTTGCACTGAGCTACAGTCTCAATGCTTTTTTATTTTCTATGTTTTATTTTCAGAAGAACTCTGGCTAAGTTGCTGAGGCTGAGCTTGAATCTTTCTGCCTCAGTCTCCCAGAGTGCTGGTATTACAGGCATGCTCCACCATAACAGCTATGTTCACCTTTTAATTTCCTAAGTTAAATTAATTGAAGTCCTGTTACAACTATTACCCAGCCAATGTTTCTTTTCAAGTCAGAAACCAGTACACATTCAACTAAAAATTCTGAACCTAAGCCTATAATTCTTTGAAATAAGAATTCTATTTTCATCACTCCTGATGCATAGAACCAAAAAATTAATATTCCAGAGCACTAAAGATGTATTTTAGTCAACCATTTTGCTGTAGGTAACATAAACATCATAGTACAGGATTGGAATAGAATTATCAATGATATTCATAGTCAATAAGAAAAGCTACCACTTCCTGATTAGTATCACTAGATGTGGGCCATGTCCATTACATACATTTTCCCAACTCTGTCTCACAAAAACCCTCCACAGTAGGTCCTGTTATCATTCTTACCAAACACATAAGTAAGCTGGGATGTAAACTGAGCTGTGTAGATCACTGAGCACTGCTGGAAAATAAGTAATCAACAAAAACTGTCGGATTTATAGTCTTTAAAATGTCCAGGACTTTGTATGGCTTCTAAGGCCAGGCAAGACGTGAGAGTCTGGTCCGAGGTCAGAGGAGAGATGGGAGCGGCTGCTCCAGGGCAGGGATTGGGATGCTGAGGGTGGGGGGAGGTACCACAGTGTGTGACTCAACCTACTCCTAAGCAGGCTTCCTTTCAAGAATTGTTTACCATTCAAAAGCAACATGTGCAGAGCATCCACTCTGAGTCAGGGACTGTGCTAGTGCCCAAAGTCTGAAAAACCAGACATAATCAAAGATAAGCGCCAAGTAGAGGTTATAGACTGTAAATAAATAATTCAAATTTTATTGTTTCAATCCCAGTGTAAAGACTGCTTTGGTGTGAAAACATAGATCGGGAGACACAGCCTTAGCTATACATGTGGTCATAGGCAGCTTCCTTGAGCAGGAGACTCAAATTGTTAGTCTAGAGACCATCGAGAAGAAAAGGATCGTAGGCAGAAGGAACAGCTCATGCCAAAGGCCTGCACTGGGAAGGAGCCTGGAGAGCCTGAAAAAAGTCTACCTTGACAGAGAATGAATGACTAGAGATTTCCCTGGAGAACAGGCAGAGGCCAGGTGTGAGTGGCATGCCTCTAATACATGTTCAGGACTTTGGATTCTGTTCTTGTAACCTTTTGAGTGATTCAGGGAGGGCAGTGACATAGTGAAAATTATTCATCAGGACAGCCATGCTGGCTGCTGAGCAGAATATTTATTCACACTTCTCAGGTCCCATGCACTGCACCAGGGTCTAGCGTTACGCAGTGAGAATGGGCCCTCTCTGAAGTTCACAGCCTACTGGGAAGACCAAGAACAAAGGAAGCCATTGTCCTGTCATGTGATCTACGCTGTCATACAAAAATGCTAGGTGTGGTAGTGCCTGCCTAACCATGGGGAGACTAGTGAAATTCCTTTCATTACCTTGAGTCTTTCAGGAGAATGTTGAAGACCATTTATTCTGGTACTAAATTCCATCATATATCATTTGTCAAAACAAAGAAAAGTGTACTTGAGCACTACCATGTGTAAGGTGCTCTGCTGGGAGATGAATAAAGGAACTATATAGTCCAATGGGGGAGGCGAGATATACAAGTTTAATTCAAATCAATAAATTATGTTTAAGTACCTACAGCGTGGTGGGCATCTACAATGTCTAGGGCAAAAAAGATACAGCAAAGAGCATTGAAGACGTAGAAGAAAAGTTCAGTGAAAGCAAAGCCAAACATGAAGCTACCAAAGTCAATGACACATGTGGAAAGGAAATACTATGGATTTGCATTGGGCTGGGGATGTGGCTCAGGAGTGGGGCACTGCCTAGCATGTATGAGGCCAGGCATGCAGAAAAAAATAGCCTTAACCACAGTTATTGTTTCATTATTCTCCTTTAAACTCTTTCTTTTCAAGTAATCAGGAAAGATATTTATTAGCAACAGCTGCACTGAATGAGGTGGCATCATATTTTCTCTAAACACAGCTATTCAGGGAAAATTCGGTGAACATTTATTGAATAGCTATTCCGTGCAAGACATTATAATAGATGTTAAATATGCAGCTTAGTTTTATTAGATTTTTCTAAGCCCACAAACACTCATAAAAAGACGGGGATAGTGCTCTTTTTCTTCTTTATATTCTCGTGCCTTTTGGGGGGGCGTAGCATATTTTTGCTTTAAATGCCTATTGTTTGAGTTCATGGCTGAATTAAAATATGCAAATATTCTGAGTATGGCAGTCACTTCTTGTTGAATTAAAACGTGCATACAGTCACAGCTCCCCGCTGTGTGTTTATATCCTCCTCTCCTTCCCCCACATATCAGAAGTTTGAAATCTTTCCTGCTACTGTATTTTCATTGTTCATCTCCTGCCCACATTTCCTGCGTACCAGGGATGTTGAATAAATGCAACTTCATTACAGCATGTGTAACAGACCCGTGAGGTCTTGATATTCAGATTTAATTGTCTGACACCCAATTATCTGTTCTGCTTCCTTGTTGTCAGCTCACGGCAGCGTGTCTTATTTGGCTCATTAGAATATAATGATACGAACCTCGCCTATGGAAAAGGTTTTTCTATAACTGTTTCCACAGATGAGATCTACTTTATAACAATTGCACCATTCATAAGCTGTGGAGATGAAACTACATCTCTGTGGGATTGAAAAGGTCAATTGAAACTTTCAGCCTGTTTGCTTCATGAAGTTCTAGCAGCAAATTCTGTCTGCTGATATTTGGGGAGACAATCCAGAGAGAAGGGGTCATTTTAAAATAGATCAGCGTCTCTGGGCTTCAACTCCTCATCACCACTCTCTGAATGGCCTCTTGCCAGAACCATTCAGGTGTGGCGTCTTCACTTCAAAGCCATCTGCAGTGACACAGCAGCCTCCAGGGAAGGTCAGTTCTTGATGCAGCCTGCTACTTAGTAGGTCTAAGTGTGCTGGTTCATCCCTCCCTAACCTGGGGTGTGGCAACCTGCAGAATTCAATGTGCAACAGAATTCAACGTCTGTGCTTCATTAGAGGGAGAGAATCAAAGACTGACATTGAATGGCTAGTGTCCTTGGTGTGCACCAGGAGCTAGTGCAGAGGCCAGAGGCTACAGCCAAGGGACAGTGGCCACCTATTGTAGTCAGGGGTTGTGCAGAGAACAATTAGAATCAGGACATGGAGTTTATAATATTATTTTTATAATGGTCACCAGGAGTTAACACAAGAAAATGCAGGAAATCTACCCGCAACACCAAACTCATAGAATATTTAGTCAAGGGCCTAAATCCCACAGCGATGTCCCACATGAGTCTGGATGAAAACCCAGAGCTCATGACAGTGCTTCCCATGAGTCCAACTGGATGTCCAGACCTCATAAGAAGGATTCATGACAGTCTCTTTTATGGATCCGTGCCAGGAAGGCCCAAAGGTCAGCAGTGGAAGCCAGAAAGTCCATGCCAACGGGTGAAGGAGCTGTGCTGGTGGGGTGAGGGTTCTAGGCTAGAGCTAAGAAGTCACACTCACAGCAAAGACCAAGGCTGTCCTGAAAGGCACCACGGCCATCCCCAGTGACACGGAGGCCCCCAGCTCCTCCAACGACAAGCACAGTTGGGTACATGCCAGGAAGCCATCGTGACGAGTTCATCCTGGAGACCAAGTGGCACATGTCTTCCCCTCCAGAGACAGGAAGCAATGCTCAATGTGAGGACCAGAGCTTCTCCAGGAGAACCAATGGCTCAAACAGCAACTCATAGGAGAACCCACAATGCCTCAACGCAATAATGCCTTAACGCCTTAACAAACTCCTTCTCCTTCTATTTATGCTGGCAGCTTTCCTCGGGTGGAGCATCTTCGCTCAGTGCTATGCTGATGTAGTCCAGCTGGTCTTACATTGACCACCAGTTCTTAATCCATAACACCACCCAAGCTCGCCCAGGCCAAGAACCACGTGGAAGGAAGACTATGCGGGACAAAAACTGAAAGGCAGTCAGATCAGAATGTAAAACCAACTGAAACTGGAGGATTTAAAGAGGCAAATCCAACACAGAAGCCTGGAAAAAACAGGCTGCAATTTCAGAAGAGCCCAGGAATGATTGCAGGGAGGTTCTTTTTTGGAGGCCACAGAGTAAGGCTTCCTGATGATTCTAAATGACCCCTCTCTGGAGCACACAAGAAAGAATGTGAGCCCGAAATCAGAATGAGAAAAATCCAATCTCACCTGCAACTTCCAGTTCAATATCCATGTCAGATGCTTTCTCTGCGGGAAAATTTAAGTATGATTTATCTAACAGTGAGAATATTCTTCTAAATCATCTCTCCTGCTGGTGTCAGGAAAGGAAAATAGTTACAAGAATTTGTCTATATAACAAGATAAGCAGGCTAGCAACTTGGGTATTTTAAGCATAGAAAAAGCATTACATAAGGGCAAATATTTATCTCATACAGCAATACCTAGATTCTTTCACAAGATAGTGCTGATTTATTAGGCTCTGTCCCATGACATTGTGGAAGCTCCTATAGGAATAGTTCTAAGCAGAAGCATGGATTCTGTAGGCTTTCTTCACCTAGGCAACAAGAGTCAGAAATCTAATCTATCTTTTCTAGATTCTGTAGATCTGCTTTTCAGTAGCCCACCACACATCATTCCAGACAATTTCTATAAACCTCTACCAGAGGACATAAATACCTGAAGGGGGGTTGTAGGTGGCACTGAACTTTGTGTCTAACATGGATGTAAGACCTTGTTAACCATAGTTTGGTTTGTTTTTTCTTTTTTCCTTTTCCACAGAAACCTAACACTATCCTGGAACCTGATTACCAGCCCTTGGTCATAAAGAACATTTCCACCCTCCCTGTGAACATACTGATCTCAACAACTGAGCCCTTCTTTCTTTGTGAGACTGATAAATCCCTGCTGCCTTCCATGCCTGAGGTAACACGAGGGTGGGCTGTGTGTGTGGCGAGGATAATAATAATATACTGCCTGCCTTCAGAAAAATAGAGGGAGCCAACAGGAAAGACCACAGAAAATTTGAAACGAGTAATAAATAAACTCCAGTATCGATCAGTGGGAACATTATGAGCATTATCCTTAATGGTGTGCGAATTTTCAGCTCACTGTGATACCCGCTTTGCTCCTGCGCATTATAATACAGCCAATATGTAGAAACCAGTGGTTTCTGACTAGTGATAGAGGTTTTAATTCTCCTCCATCAAAGCCAACCAAAACTCCATAGCCAAAGAAATGAGAGAATAGCCAAGACCAGTCCCCAAACCAGCAAGCCCATCACTGAACTCTAGAAAAACTGGACCAGGCTGGGGAGGGACTCGGAACTCACCCTGCAATGGGCTGGAGCAAGATTCAGCAGTCTCCAACAGCCCTACACGAGGGTCCCTGAGATCTTCTGGGCACCAGGGCACCAGTGAGAATGGTTGACCATGGCCAAGTGATGCTGCAGAGCTGTGGGAAAGGAGGATTGAAAGGAATCCAGTTCCCTACACCACACACACACCACCTCCCCATCTAGGGAGACAGCTAACAGAGAAGCCATATGATACAGAGAGGGAGGACAAGATCTCAGAAGAGAAGGCCTGGGACTTAGATTTGCTGTAAGCCAGTGTCAGGGAGATCATCTTGGGGAGAGCGGGGACAGAGCACTTGGTGACAGGGTGCTCCAGACAGTACCCATCCAGAGGCTGTGAACTGCCCCACGGTGCAACACACACATACACACACACACACACACACACACACACACACACACACACATACACACTGATCCCTGGATAGGCAAGTCTCCTTTGAGCACAAGGGGGAAAATATCAGCTAAGAATAGAGAAGAAAAAGGAAAAAATGATTCTACGAAGAGACAGATGAGGCAGAAAAGACAGAATAGACACTCTGAAAAAGGACTTAGCCAAGGAAGAAGTTCAAAAGTACAGACAGACAATTCTCTATGGCCTCCGAAAAAGTACAGATAATATAACTTGGCTCTGGAAAGAACTCAAGAATGAGACGCAAGTGCTCAAAGAGGAGATGAGAAGCAAACTCAGAGCACAGGAAAACAAGTGGACGAGAGAACGGGAAGATTCACACAAGGCACCTTTCTCTATCTGGGTGGGAGATGAGGCCCTCGCTTGTTCCTCCTGAGATCTTAATAGGATAAAAGTAGAGATTTCCAAGAGAGAAAGATCCCAGAGCAGTAAAATAAAGGGAGAAGCAGATAGGCATAGTCAAATAATGAGAGATTTAAGAAGATAGAAAATTTAGAGTTGAGAAAAAGCCACAGAAATCTGCATCCCCAAAAAATGTTGCCGTAAAGCTGTGAAAAATAAACTTGTTCCAGCCAGGCGTGGTGGCTCAGGCCTGTAATCCCGGCACTCTGGAGGCTGAGGCAGGAGGATCGTTGTGAGTTCGAGACCAGCCTGGGCTACAAAGTGAGCTCAGTGCCTGCCCGAGCTGCATAGAGACCCTGTCTCAAAAACATAAAAATAAATAAACTTGTTCCACCCAGTGGGCTCTGGGTGGGCTCTGAGCTCAGAGCCAGTAAGTATGAGGAGAGGGCTGGAAACAAAATGGAGAGACACCTTGCTCTGGGCACACCCAGAAGGTGCGGACAGGTGGCTTTGATGTCAAGACAAAAATGGTGCTCTTCCCCAGAGAAGCTACTTTAAACGATGAAATTTCATGCTCCGTGTGTTTTCAGTATCAGTGCTGCTGAGGGAGCCTCCATCCCCATTCATCTATTCTGGTATCTGGGGCGCACCCAGGGCTTGATTGTCACTCTCCGCCCAGGAGAGACTGTTCAGTGGGCCAACTCAATGGCAGGCGTTTAGAAGTGGTGGCCTCTTGGTTGTTGAGATGTCAGGGTGGGTCAGGAACTTCAGGTTCTTATAATAACTCTGGAAGCAAAGTTTTCACCTTTTTTATTAATTGCCTGTATAATCATAAAGACACATAAACATAATTTTAATAATAGTTTCAATAATCTGCAGGAAAAATATTAACCACCCAATAGAAAAATAGGCAAAAGAAATGAAGAGGTCACACACAGAAAGAAGAAAAATTTGTCTGTCTGTCTCTCTCTCTGTGTATCTCTGTCTCTGACTCTCTCTCCCTCTCTCTCTATCTCTTTGCCTCTCTTCTCTGCCCCTCTCTCTGTCTCTTTCTGTCTGTCTCTCTCTGTCTGTCTGTCTGTCTCTCTGTCTCTCTGTCACTGTGTGTGTGTTGTCTGTCTGTGTCTGTCTGTCTCTCTCTCTCTCTCTCTCTCTCTCTCTCTCTCTCTCTCTCTCTCGTCCAGGCTGGCCTTGAACTCACTGTGTAGCCCACACTAGCCTCAAACCCATTATTCTCCTGTCCCATCACAGCCTGCTAAAATGACTCTTGTCACATGAAAATACACTTGACTTTTTTCATATTAGAAGAAAGCCAAATTAAAATTACCAAGAAATACTTTTTTAAGCTATCAGATTGGCAAAGAGCCGAAATTGGAATGCTCAGAGTTCAGGAGGACATGTGGAAGCAGACATTCTCCTGCAGGTCTGGACACAGCCTATCCGGAGGCGGTGTGGCAATAGTTTGGAAGATTGTAAACGCCCATGCCCTTTGACCTCATAATCCCACACCTGGGAATTTATGCTACAGATACAGATACAATGTACCAGTTGATATATACAGATACAGATGTCTTGATTAACAGAGCAAAAGCTTGGGAGGCAGTGTCCTTCACCAGGGTAAATGAAAGCAGAATTATGCAGTGGAATGAGATGCAGTCTTGCAGAAGGATGAAGGAGCGGCCCACCTGCGGTCTCAGCATTGTGGGTGGCTAGAGCAGGAAGATAACTAGTTTGAGCACAGTCTGGGCAACTTATGGAGACCTTGTCTGGAAATAAAAATTTTAAAAAGGTCTGGGGATGTAGCTCAGTGTGAAGTCCCTGGCTTCAATCACCAGTACCAAAAAGAAAAAGAAAAATATGAAAGAAGGAGACACCTCCATGTGCAGTACTGAATGATTTCCCAGTGAGAAGAGTGAAGTCCAGAACAGTATGCATAGCATGTATCTGGTGCGTAAAAAATATAAAATCAAAAAATGTGATTTATGTCCATTGAAAGTATCTACAAAAATAGTCAAGACATCAGTAACCTTGGTTACCTCACAGGAGGGAAACTCGTTGGCTTGCTTAAGGGATAGGAAAATGGGCACAAGATGACTTGATTTGCATTGTTCTATCTGTTCAAAATGTAAATGAAATATTTTAAAAATATTTTTCAAAATAAGATGCCACACTTTGTCCGAGCGCAGAATAACGGAGACTATTCAACGGTGAGGTAGAGCTTAGTGAAGTCCCAGAACTTACTGATAGCCAAAGAATTCTGTGGCATCTAAGAAAAGAAGAACTCTATCAGAGATAGATTTCATACTAAGATCAGATTTCTCCCCGACAATGTAACACCAAATGGCCACAGAGCAATGACTTGGCATTTTGAAACAAGGTTTGACCCAAGAATTTCATAACCCACCAAAACATCCTTTGAGAATAAAGGTAACAGGCAGCGCTCTCCGGAGCAAGGAATCACTGAATCAGTATTCACGTGCGCTTGGCCGAAAACAGTGGAATAAAATACAGCTACACAGAAAAGTTAACAACTGCCGGCAAACCGTGAGAGCGACTACCACGGGCCCGCGACTGAGAATGCACAGTGCTGGGCTCTGGGGTTTCATTTCGTATCAATAAAAACTGAAAATCTATAATCATCTTTTTAATTATTGAAAAGGGGTAATAGTACCAACTAATATTTATATACCATGCACTGTCCTAAAACACCTCACACACATATTAACTCATTCCATCGTCTTAAAAAGAAATGGTGAGTATTATGATCCTGTTTTACAGATGGAAAGATTGAGGTTCAAACTTTGCCCAAGGTCATACAAGGCATGTTCAAAATATACACCAAATGTTTAATTTTTTTAAATTACTACAATAAACGATCTATTAGTATTAATCCCCTTCAAAATACTTCCTGTTGCTGTATACACATCCCACTTTCTGTAACAGTTCTGAAAGTCCTCTTTCATGAGTGTCTTTAAAATGTGTTACCACAAATACAGTGAATTCTGCTGTTGCATGCTGTCCAGTGGAAAGCAGGCTGGTAAAAACATGACTTTGCCTCCTCATCTGCCTTACTCCCCAGATCTCTCACCAGGCAACTTCCGGCTCTTCTCCAAAGCCAAATGACCACGAAAATTAAATGTTTTTAATTGATTCAGGACATCAATAGAGCCACATTAGCACAACTAAAGAAACTAAAGAGAACACCCAGAACTGCATCAGAAAATTACAGAAACCACGCGATAAGTGTGTTGGAAGAGAGGAGTTTTTTGAGGGGAATTAATGGCAACGTGTCTTTTACTGTAAAGGGGGGGGGGAAATTTAGGTATTCACCGTAGTTTTTGATCACACCTGATACAAGTTGTAACAAGGGAAACCACAATTTAGCTGAGAGCAGACTGAGTTCTTAACCTTAGGAAGCAACATCCCTTCCATACAAAAAAATTTCTTCAGTTTTGTTAAACTCAAAAATGTATTTAATAAAATAGTATAATCTAATTCCATTTTATTAAATTCTACTATTCCTCCATTATGTGTGGACTAACAGTTTCAAAATATTAACTCTGAGAAATTTTGAAATTTTAGATAGATAGACCTTTAATTTAATTGTTGTTCTTTTATATATATAATATACATTTCTACCAAACAACAGTCATTCCACTAGACAAAAGATTGTAGGTTGACTTTCAAAGATATTTAACCCGTGGGGGAAAAAACAACAAAGACATTTAACCCATGAGCTGCTGTAAACCATGTGGGGATTAGGAGGAGAAACAAACCAACTCACCCTTCCCGTGAGTCAGCAGGAGGCGTGCTGGGCCTGGGAGGAGTAACAAAAAGCCAATTTGCCCTTCCTGTGAGACAACTGGGGTGCAGGCTGGAAGCTAAGAACACCTGCGCCCCTCTATTGTCCTCCCCCCATAAGTAACCAGCTGATCCGGAGGACAGGCTGAGTTGATAGCAACTGAGGTACAGAAACTTGTATTATTTGATCGACTTTACAGGCCTCACACCAGGAGTCTGAGCATCTATTGAGAGGATAACAATATGCAATATAGCAACTATGGGGGACTTTCTTTTGTCTTGTTTTTGAAATCCAATGTTGTTCTCACTATTTTGTTTTGTTCCATTTTATTGATTTGTTTTATTCAATGTTCCATTTTGATTGGCTTTATTCTATCTTATTTGGTTTTAGTCTCTTTAATATATGCTTTCATTCTTTTGTTTTGATTGATTTTATTCTATTTTGTTTGATTTTATTATATCTGATGGTTTGGACCGCAATTTTGAAGAAAACAAGAGACATTATAGTAACCATTGTTGATTTCCTATTGTCTTGTTTTGAAATCCTATATCACTTTTGTTGTTCTATTCTGATTAGCTTTATTCTGTTTTGTTTGGTTTGGTTTTATTCTCTTTAAAGTAAATTTAAAGCATGAAGATATTTAAACACCAACTATGACAATCCCAAGCACATAGATATCACAGGTTACAAGGTAGGGTGTGCATTATGTCCATCCATGTGAGCCAACCTGTAAAGTCACAGTACAGATTGTCCACTGTGGAAACCAGTGTGGAGTTTCTTTAAAACACTAGGATTAGAATTCCCTAGCTATGCCCTTTCTGGGTGTCTTCCTAGAAGAATTAAAATCATCATACCACAGTGACATATGTGCACCCATGTTTATAGCAGCACAGTTTGTTAATAGCTAAATCTTGGAAACAACCCAGATGCCCATCAACCAAGGAATGGATAAAACAGGTATGGTTTTTTTATACAGTAGAGTACTACTCAGCCATAAAGAAGACTTTTAGAGGTAAATGGATGCGACTCGAGACCATAATAAATCAGACCCATATGTATAAACATCATATTGTCTCACTAGTGTGAGAAACTGAATGAGGACATAAGGTTCAAAATGTACAATAGGTGTTATGAATTGAGAAGAAACCGTTCAAAAGAAAAGACAAACTCTGATGGGGGAAGGGAGGAAGGAAAAAGAAAAAATATATCTATACACAAGATAGTTGAGATAGTTATACAACTAGTTTCTCTTAGTTCATTGAAAAGAAAGGTTTGTGCTTCTATTGTTTGGACCAGATATCATACTTATATCTTGTACTCTGAATAACTATTATGCAGACAACAATACCCAATGTATTAATTATTGTAACTCTCCTACTAATCTGCTTTGAAACTCTGTTTTATGGTGGGGTTTTTTTCCTCTTTAAAATAAAACAAAAGTACAGGTTGTCCGTGTGACTTTGAGATGGGATGAGGTAGATTGAAGCAACCTCTCTCTTCCCTTCCTTTCCCTTCCCTTCCCTTCCCTTCCTCCCTTTCTCTCTGTCTCTCTCTCTCTCTGTGTCTCTCTCTCTCTCTCTCTCTCTCTCTCTCTCTCTCTCTCTCTCTCTCTCTCATTGTTGAATCAAGTGATTGGCTTTATCAGCTGAAGCCATCTGGCCATGTCACAGGTAAAAGCCTGAACTGTTTTAGCCCCTTGGAGAGGTGGCAGTTCCGGACAGCACTCCTCCTCGTGCTTCAGAGTGTTGGCTGCAAAACCAGGAGGTGCCTTTCATTGCCAGTTAAATTTGGGAATTGAGCAATGTCTAAAAAAGCCAACCCAGGATGGGCTTTTCTATTGGAATGTATTTTTACAGGCAGAGACATCAAGGAACATGTAGGGATTTGAATCAAAGACAGAAAAGAGCAAATAAAATCTCCTGAACAAACTCTGTACGTCTCTAGAATGTCATTTTAAGTTGAATAGAAAACTGCAGGAAATGGACAATGCTGTGCTTAAGAGTTAGGATTGCAAACACTGGAAAGAAATTACCTAATCTGTCCTTTTCCGGGTCACTCTAGACAGCGTCCTCCCCTCCCCCAGTGCCCTAGCAGGCCTTTTACATTTTCCTTAAGCAAAGAACTTTCCCTCCAGTCTGGCAGGAACACTGCACAATCTAATTTATTTTCAGTTCAGAATATTTAATATTAGCTATTCGCTGTAGACCTGGCCTCTTACAGTTTCTGTAATCCTTGTAACCCTACAACAATTACCAAGATCTTTCCTTTCAAATAATTCCTCCCAGATTTGCCTTGCTTTCATTTTCACCTATCAAAATATATGCCTCTGTCTATAGATCTACATTTACCTATGGCTGTGGTCTTAGCCTATTTTCTGTCATCCTAATACCCAAGACTGGGCAATTTACGAGGAAAAGGTTATTTGGGTTCACAGTTCTAGAGGCTGGAAAATCTAAGAGCATAATTCCATGGCAGCCTTATGCTGCTCCACGCAGTGGAAAACAGGTGGGCAAGTGGACATACGTGGAAAAGACAGGACAGTCCTTGCTTTATAAAAACCTAGAGGTAACTAATCTAGTCCCATGGGACCAAGAACTCACTCCTCTGAGAACGATGCTAATCTCCTCTCAGGGCTCCATCCCCATGAACCGAACACCTCCCCCTCGGCCCCAGCACCTCTGCAATGACAGCCAAACTTCAACTTGAGTTTTGGAGGGAGCAATCATAACACTAGCTGTTTAAGTATTCACAACTGTGTGTGTAAATACGTGGGTGTCTCTGTGAATGCATAAGTAAATATAAATAACTTTGGTTGTCTGGTTTCATGTATCAGGCTGGAAATTCATAGTACAAAAGTTGATAATTCCTCACTATCTTATTTGTAGCCTATTAAACTGGATGTTTATGAAGCAAAAAACCTGCTGGTCAAATTTGACCCAACCTACAGAAATGATCTAAACAACTGGGTGGTGGACGAAGTCCTAGAGATTAAGTATGTGGAACACCCTCAGATCGACAGCCTGAACTTGCGTGGGGAAGTCTTTTACCCCAACCTCAGCTTTGAGATGACAGAGGTGGACTTCGGCTGCATCTTGAATGATACCGAAGTTGTCCGCCACATTATGATCACCAACACCAGCCCCCTGCCTGTGAAGTTCCGCTGGCTCTTCCTTGTGACCAATGAGGAAATTCAGAGAAGGTACGGAAATCCCACAGGCCTCTGATGTTCATTCATTTTCTCTTTCAAGCTTTGTACTGGGTTTTCTGTGTCCTTCATATGGCCTTTCATTCATCTTTTTTTGACAGCTAAATCATGGTCCATCCTAGATTCCCAAACTGAAAAAGCAGATACAACTTTGAAGGCCCTGCATATTTCCAGGTTAACAAAGCCATACCCATGAGTCCGCTTTCCTTGGGATTCTAACAATAATATGATCACCAGAAATTTCTTACTAAAAATCTTTGTAGTTTTTTAACTTATTGTTTTATTGTATTAAGAATACCTAATATAAGATCTGCCTTCTTGGTAGGCATTTAGCTCAAGGGCATAAGCGCCTGCCTGGCAATCGAGAGGACATGAGTTCCATCCCCGGTACAAGCAAAAAAAAAAAGATCGACCTTCTTAACAAACTTTAAGTGTATAATACAATACCTATGCATTATAGGTACAATGTCATACGGTAAATCTATAGAACTTACCTTGCTTTGCTGAAATTTTGTGCCTGTTGGTACCCATTTCCTTCACCCCTAGCGCCTGTAACCACCGTCCCACCATTTGATTTATGAATTTTATTATTTTAGTATTTTAGATAATATTTAGCATTTTAGATAACTCATATAAGTAGAACCATACAGTGTCTGCCTTTATGTAACTGACATATTTCTCTGGGCATCATATTCTCATGGTTTACCTATGTTGTCATATATTACGGAATGTCCTTCTGTTTAAGGCTGAATAATAGTCTGTCCTATAGTGTTAAATGCCACGTTTTATTTAACCACCCATTTATTGATTTAAAAACTTAGGTTGTTTCATGATCTTGGCTATTGTAAATATTGCTGCAATGAACGTGGCAGTGCTAACGTCTCTTTGAGATTTTGATTTTGATTCTTTTGGATAAATACACAGCAATGGAATTTCAGGATTGTACAATAGCTCCTCTTTAAATTTTTAGGAACCTCTGTACTGTTTTCCACAGTAGCTTCACCATTTCACTTTCCTGGCAACAATTTTCTCACTCTCTCATAACCCTGACTGTATTTTTTATAATAGCCACCCTCCTTGTGATACCTCACTGTGGTTTTGGTTTGCATTTCCCTGATTATATTGACAGTAAACATTTTAAATATAATTGTTAGCTATTTGTCTTCTTTAGAGAAATGTCTGTCAAGTCTTTAACTCACTTTTGTTGGGTAATTAGCTCCTACTTTGGGGTTAGGCTGCTATTGAGTTGTACAAGTTCCTATGTATTTGGAGATGACCTCTTATCAGATGCGTGGTTTGCAAATTTTTTCCCATTCCATAGGTCCCCTTTTCATTGATCATTTGCTATGCAGAATCTTTTTAGTTTAGTGTAAGCTCATTTATTTAGTTTTGTTTTTGTTGCCTTAGTAAGCACTTCAAACCCAGAGTATGGATTGACTAGGACAATACATTGAGCATGTGCCTTATCTTGCATATTTCTGCTCTGAGATATATATCTATATAAGATATAGATATATATAGATATGTAGATATACTTATGTATTATTTATAGGCATACACAGAGTTATGGAGTAGTGGCAGGTAGTGAGTGCAATATTTTTTTTCTCAATTGGCAACCGGGACTGGTAGGAGTCTGTATATTCCCTTAGTGAGTGTTTTGACAGCTCAGTTTTTAGCATGGGCATGTTGAACAGCCATTCTTAACTGAGGAGACTTCATACTGTTTCCTTAGCGGCTTGTCAGTGCTTCCTGCACAGAAGCTTCACCTTCTATGTGACAGCCACCCTTTTCTTTCTTGTGCTTGTTACCACAGCAACAACAACTTGCTCTGGATGTCATCCATAGACATCTAATGATGACCTAGCATAGCATTGAAACTGGCAGCCAGTCCTAGGCCTGAGCATTGGAGCCTGCTCATTAGATGCCATGGGCTGTTTGGGTTTGCAATGAAATTCTGTAGATGGTGAACATTTAAAATAATCATAGAAAAAAATTGACCAACCTGACCTAATGCTCTCTGAATACCAGTTTTTATGAAATTATTCTGATATAACATAGCTAAATGAGTTTATCCCATCTGGGAGCAAGGACATCCTTTTTTATTTTTGAGAGGACATTTCCATAATTAAAATAATGACATTTTGAAAATGTACTCGGCCAATGGTGGAGATGAGGCACTCGATTTTTATTGATTTAAGCATTTATTTGACCATTTTTCTTTTCCTCAGTATCTTCCTATCATTTGATATTGAGTCTTTGCTTCTAAGTCATTTGCTCATTCATTTAATCAAAGTCATTCAGCAAATATTTGATAAGTTGCTCTTGTAGATCAGATATCATGTGAGCATTTTAAGTAATGGGAACAGTATGTACATGTTAGTTAGAATTCATGGATTCATTTTCTTGCAAGTTACAGGAAGCCTGAACCTCTGCAAAAATTAAAAGGAAAGGAAAGTAATTGGTTCCCACAACTCAAAAGCCCAGATTTATTCTGGCCTCTAGCCTGACTCAAAGCAGATTCGAACAGTAGTGTTATCAGAACCAGGCTGTCTGTCTTTTGGTTCTGTTGGCCTTTGTGTGTTAACCTCATTCTCAGACCAGCTTTTCTAGTCACCAAATAGCTGCCAACTCTCCTGGGGCCATGTCCTTCCAAGCTTTGGACCACTGGGACAGAACATGAGCAACACATCCCCAAATTTCCAGAAGATTCACTCTTATCAGGCCCACTTACATTTCCTGTCCTTCCCACTAATTGGGAAGGGACATACTGGGCACCGTGGGCCTGGCCTCATTCTCACAGATGGTGACCTCTGGACCACTGAGACTTAAGGGAGTGAGAATGGGGTAAGATCTCCAGCGAAAATCACGGCATAGGAAAGAAAGGTTGCTGGAGAGTAAATGGCATACATGCACCACAGTGTCAGCAGCTGGAAGAGGTTATGAGAAACAGTTGTGGAGAGGTGTGTTGGCAGGAGGGTGTGCCAGGCCTGCTATCCCATCAGGCATTTAGACTCTGTTGCAGGCAGTGGTGAGACATATAATCAAGAGAATGACAGAGTCAGGGTTCTTCCAAAAGTAAGTCTTCACAGCATTCAGCACTGTAGCCCGACACATTCCCTTCTGGACTTGCAGAACATGGCGTCATGGCGTCCTCCTGCTTCTCCTATTATTCCCCAACTATTCTCTCTCAGCTCTCTGCCAGGAAGAACTGGGCTCGAGTACTTCAGGCTTCACCCCAGGCCCTCTTCTCTTCTTAACATCTGCCTCCCCGCATTTCAGTCACCCTCTGTGGCTGAGGCCACCAAATGTACATCTCCACCCAAGCCCCACTCTGAGAGTTGGAGCCCATTGAGTTTTTGGCATCTTCTCTTAGATGTCTTCAGGTGACTCACGACTGACGTGCCCCACGTAAATTCCAGTTCTCCCCCTGCTCCTTGCGGCCCATCCCTGCCTCTCCTCCAGGGCACCTTAGCCCAGTGATAACACCACTGTTCCCCCCTCACTGTACTCACCCCACCATGCCTGTCACCCAGGTCTGCCTATTCTGCCTTTTAAGAACCTTATTTCTGTTTCTCTTGCTCTTGCCTTGTTTCAAGCCACCATCATTGTTACTTGGATAACTATGACAGCCCTAATGGGACTCTGCTTCCACACATGCACCATGATGCCTTCTCCATTTGGGAGCCAAGGGACGAGCATGTGGCCACCTTTAAATAACTACTCCATGCTCCTCAGAACAGAGTACAAAATATACACCACAATATTCTAAAGGCTTAGCTTTTGCTGGTGCGTGAGTTCCTCTCGAGTTTCTTCCCATTGGCTCTCCCCCACCATACACCACAGTGCTTACCTAACATGCTGGCTTCTGCCTGTGCTCCCCTATCCAACTGCCCCATCTCTCCTAGAAGCTCTTCTCCTACTCTGATCCCTCCTGATCCCCCCTCAAATCTCAGTTTCAGCATCGTTCCCCCACAGGCCTTCTCTGAGACCTTGCTCAAGCCAGAGTCAGGCCGTGGGCATTGGTAGCCCCACCTTCTTTGTGACACACATTACAGCTGTACTTATGGCTCATTGTCCGTCTTCCAAGCAAGCTCTGACCCCTGTGAGGCCAGTGAGCAGTATGCCCTGTCACCTCTGGGAAACCCCAGGCCTAATACTACCCTTAGCATAGACAAAAATCCTCAAAGGAATTTTTTTTAGTTAATCAAATGTTCCCTCTTTGATGTTTGTAGAGAGATGGAGACAGTTTCATAATTGGTTGAAGATTCTTTCCTGTTAGCTCCCAAGCACCTGCCAAATACAAAGATGCAAGGCGTAAATGTCACCTAGACTAGACCAAAAAAAAAAAAAAATGCCACCTGCCCTCCAGACAGGCTTTTTGTGCAGACCATCAGAAGAACATAAAAAAAACCCACTGGCTAAAGGTCATTTTATCTGATATATCAACACTAACCTTTCTTTTTCAATTAGAATTCTTAAGTCTTATGGTTAGTAAAGGAAACAAAAGTATGAGAGAATTTTATTTTTTATTTTTCTTTTATAAGCAAGTATGAGGATGCATAGACACTCCCAACATTTCTGTCACAATACCCATGCACCTGCCAGGAGTGTGTGCATGCACGTGTGGGTGCATGTGTGCACATCTGTACACATGTGGTGCAGGTGTGTGTCCATGGTTCTCTTGTTTGGTAATGCATTTCTTCCAACTTGGCACTTACATCACATATAAAAATAAAGAAGGAAGTAAAGTGGTGAGCATGTTAAATAAGCACTCAAAAGGGGGAAAGCAAGTCCTTGCCTTAACGGCATGCTCACCCACTCAGGTTCACAGCCTTGGCAGGAGTCTCGACTGGCAGAGTGGATGACGGTCTGCCCTTCCCACACGTACACACAGTGAGGACAGTGGTGAGGAGCATTAGGGCTGAGCATTTCTCCTGTAGCTGTCACAGCAGAAATTGAGCCTTCCATGGGTCTGTCTCTAACTGAGAAGCTTG